GTCGTATTGGATACATTTACACCGTGCATTTAGGTCACAGGTTATACCTCAAATTTGACCTTTAATTAATTATTTAAGCCACTTGCTGTAAACATTTCATAGTTGATTTAATAATCTGGCCTTTAGGTCAGGTTTTAATTGTGGTGATCTAACCTAAAGGCTTGCTAATTTTCTCCTAAGGCATAATCCCTAAAGACGTAATCGATTAACAGCGCTGAGACTGCAAAATACTTTAGGCCGCTTATGGTGTATAATATAATAATTAGTGATTAAACTTTTCTTGGTTTACTTTGTATAGGTCAAGCAACGCATAGGTCTTTAGGTGTAAACGCAGCCAAATGGTCCTCATTCAGGAACAGGTGTCTATAAGAAAAAAGATTTAAAAAATTGAGACTATACATTATCGTCTCGAAATCATGACGATTTTTGTACTTTCTTCGCATATTGTTTACCTAACATCTCTGGGAAAGAGCTAATGTCTGGATTTTGGTCTAACAAGCAGCATGGTATTGTCATCAATGACTCTTTAGTTGGATTGAGTATCAAGGATGAAGAAGAAGAAGAAGAAGAATTTACTCGACGTTCGCCAGAGTATTTTCTTACAGACCAAAACTCGTAGAAAATTCGTGGAACTTCAATTACACGAATTTCAATTCAGAGACGATAGTAACGCGCGGAATGTAGATCGTTCGAAAATATACGTGGTTGTATATCAAGCGCAGAATAGCCTGCGGTGACAGTAGATGGAAGGTCGTGGCGTTGCGTGCCATTCTGCGGCAAAGTTATTCATCTATTTTCGTCCGTATGCGTGGGCCCAGCAGCTTCCAACTCGCGATCAGTCTCTCGTGAGCTTCGCGACGCATCGAAAGGAAGAAGGCGCTCGAACTTGAGCTTGATTAAATCGCGTCGAGTCGAGAACATTAGTCACCGATGCGTAGCGTTATTCATGATCTCAAGTAACGTGGTAGCGACGTATGACATCGCGGGACACTCGACAGACTAATTGAGAAATTCGTTGTGGCGATTAGTCGACGCGGTCCCCGACATTACGCGAATCTGAAAGCACGAGTCGCAGTGACATTAATCACTCATGGGTCGTATCGTCCATCTCAACTGGCGAAGTAAGTGAATAGGCACGCGCGGATTAATTGCACGGAATTCGTTGCGCCGCTTAATCAGCCTCGCGATCTAAATTGCGCAAACGTGAGCTGCGATATTGCATTCGCTGTTAAATGAAAATCTGGTATCTCTGTCGCGTTATTTCGAAAACCCTATGGAACGTGATCCAAATTAATGATTTCTTTATCCTGAAAGCTTTCAAAAATTCAACAGATATAATTTTTAAAATGCTAAAAGATGAAAAATTAAGTCAATGGTGAAAGAGCCAAATTTTTGGACAATTATATGATTACGTATACTTTATCTTATATTGCATGTCACATCTCAGAGAAAAAGAATAATGTTAACTATATATAAGTAACAACTGTACATATTTTATATTATGTCGAATTAATGTTAAAACGTAATTGAATTATTTTATAATTGAAATAACTATAAAATATTTCATTTAACTATATTATATATGCATTAACTATGCCGAACATACATAATTGTCATCTATATAATTGCCACTATTCTCTTATAATTATTGCAACTACATAAAATAGTTTATTCAACATGTGTGTGTGTGTGTGTGTGTGTGTACGCGTACCTTCATTAATTCGATGCTATCATTATGTTTTTTTCTCTGAATGCGCAATACAAGATAAAGTATATACATAATTATTATAATCAATAAATCTAAAACGTCGAATTTTTTTCAACATTTAAGGTCTATTATTTTATAGGAACTCTTATTTCCAGATTGAATAAAAACAGGGATTAAATGTTAAAAGCTCCATAGTAGACGAACTGCAGAATTGCTCGCTTCTGTAGTGTGCTATACATTGTTGATGTTATTAGTAACATGTCGAAAGATCCGATGCCTGTTCGTGCCTTCGAGATTCTTTTGGCGACCTCCCAAAATACGTCAGTGGAGCTTCCGGTACGTGTAAAACTCGGCAAAATCGAATCAATCTTTATCGCGCGAACGAACGGGTACGAGGCGTATTCTTTCAGGAATTGAGACCAGGCAATTTCTCATCTCTAAGTAGTTGTACAACAATTATTTTTCGAAGAGCGCGTGTTTTTGGCGGTTTTTCTTTTATCTTTTCTCCCAAAACGCGACGTCGATGGAACTTCCGGAACAGATGAAACCAGGCAAAATCGGATCGAGTTTTATTATGAGCAAAGGGCACAAGGCATATTCTTTTAGGAACTGAAACAGGACAATTTCTCATCTTTATTCTCCCGCAATTATCTTCTTCCTCCTTTTATGCAATATGCACGATATCCTTAATATTTATCGATCCGTAGTAACTCACTTTTGCTGTCTGATATCCAGTTATTTAGCCTTTGTGATGTAAAAGAGTCGCTAAATATGAAGAGGAATTGCGCATATTTTTATAGGAATATTGAGCGTATCGCTTTAATTTTGTTTGAAGCAAGAACGAACGGAAAATGTTGTCAATTTTAATTGTAGATATTAACGTTTGATCTTAAATTCAGCATTAGTGTACACATTCATAATTCAATTTATGTGAATTGCTCATATTTTTGCGTCTCTCTCTCTCTCTCTCTCTCTCTCTCTCTCTCTCTTTCGCTATATTTGAAATAGCATTTCATTTTCAAACAGTATTGTCGCCGTCCTCATCCTTTGAGTATGATACTCCCAATTTACGAATTTATTTCATCCCTTTGATACCAGCATTTATGCCCATTCCTACCAGTATAGATTAACTTTAATTTCGGTTCAACTTACTCTTCATTTTTTTTTCATTTTTAGAATTAGGAAAAAATGAAGAGTTAATTGAACGGAGATAAAAATTAAACTATGTTGATAAAAACAAGCATCTATGATGCATATTGACGCGATACTTCATTTATTTCGATATTTTCTATCCCGATGATGTTTGTTTGTATTAAATTTTACGTAACTGCAATTTAAATATTACGTTTTCTTGTGCAAATTAAGCTGTGTCTACATAAAGTAAAGATACATTTTATGGAGAAAAGATTTGAGAAAAGATTATGAAAGATTTAAGTACAATGGATTAATATATATATTCTTCAGTAGAATTTATTTTATATTGGAAATTCTCGATAATAAGTTTTATCTAGTACAGAATTTAATGGAAAAAAAAAACAAGCTATAATATATTTAACTACTATAACTACTTCATGCTATAACTACTTCATCATCTTGTTAACATTTTCATTCGCGATTTTTCATAATTGTTGAAATTTAGTTATTTCAAACTCGTTCGTTTTGAATTCGAGCCGAAAATGTACTTTATGTGAAGTTAGCCTCCTCAACATTTATTTGTCAATAATCTTTTAACTTTTTTAATTTAAAGCGAACGAAAAATCGACTTGTTTCGAAACGTGCAAACGAAAATCTATCGATTAAATCCTTTTCAATCTAATTTACTCAAAGTTGGGGGGTAGTATGATGTTAGTTTTTTGAATAACTTTAATTTAAAATTGTTTTTTGAATAACTTTTTTACTGGAAGTGTGCAAACGATGAGCAATTGAATGCGCTATATAAACTTAAAATTTGTTAATGCTGGAGGTTAAGTTCATAATAGTAAATAAGAGAAGTACTCAAATTTTATACTCAGGCATAATAATATAACAATCTATGAAATTTTTATGTTTAATATTGTTTCTAAATGTGACATGTACATCCTTAATTCATAATTCACGATGTAACAAGAGATATAATGGATCTAGCCACAGGAAAAAATGTATGTATATCATTAACGTCAGAAAATGCTCTACAACTCTCAAAAATTGCCGATTGATTTATTGATACGTATATAACGCCGATACACAAAGAGAATTTTTAAGGACTATGCGCTGCGTTTAATCGTCGCCGAATCGAGAATGTGTCAACTTCTCTAAATCCACAACGGATTTCTGAAACCGACAGTCAGCAGTCAATAAACGTGCACGAGAGAAATTTTTTGTTCCACTTCGTATACGATGTGTTCGTCCTAGAAATCGACATATCTTTTTTCGTAGTGAATGCCATCGCGATGCCATCGCAGCGCGTATGTCCAATTCGCGCAATACAGGACAAATTTTCGTCGACAACCAGTCAACGGAGTGTCCGTTATCGCAGACGAAGACAAACGTAATTTGAGAGCCATCTGTGTCCGACTGAAAAACGGCATCGGCAAGTTTTTGTTGTGACCCAGTTTTTTTTTCTCATAGTCATGCAAATACTACACACTGAAAGAAAAACGATTGCAATTACGGTAATAATTTAACTATAATTTATAATCATTTTTGATGCTAACTATATTATATTTTTTGTAGAACTATAAACAATTATTATTCAATCGAGTAAGTGAAAATCAAGAAATGCTCAATAAAATGTCAACTTTTTTAACCGGCTTTTGCCATTAAATTTCTAATAAATTTTTACAAATTTATTTTTTTACGTAAAATATAATAAGATAATATTATTCGAATATTACTATACGTTACGTAAACAAGCGTACTCGCTTTTGCAAGCGGTTTAAATATACTCGCAACGTCGCCTTCGATCAAGAAGTGACTTAACGGATTACGTTGTCCAATCTATGCAACCGCGGTGCGCAGTGAGAGTAAGCCGATAAAGTCATCTCGGCGAATATATATTGATCGAAAACTATCACTAAAGTAACCGCAACGTTTCGCAGTGAAGTAATTGGACAACAAGTGATATCCGTAATTTTATTTGCGGACAATTCGATGGGACTTTTCTCTGAGCGAGCGCGTCGTCTGACTTGTGAAAATTTCGCGAGAGGGTGAGAAAAATCGGCGAGCCAGACAGTCAGCCTCTAATCTGCCACTCTGACGACGTACATATCCCGTCACGGTTCTGACCGGTGTCAAACTTTTTTTTCTGTTGCAGAGCCGAAGAAGGAAAAGACTGAACAGAATGCAAATGGCGCGATATCGCCGAGCGGCGGGGGGGGCGGGGGGGGGGGAGCCGAAAGCCGCCAATTTGGGCTCGGCTACGACCGGGTTGGCGATGCCGGTCCCGGGCCCGGCTCCGGATGCCGGGGACCAGCAAAAGCCAAACAGGCCGAACACCCTCGACGCCAGGGTGGTAGCCAGGAGGCTGATCTTGTTCGACAGTGAGTACACTCGTGAGCCGGCATGAGTTCTGCTACTTGCCTCCGTGTCGTCATCGCTCAGAGAAAAGTTCGACGAAATCGATTGAAGTGTACATCAATCGGAACAAACGATTTTGGGACGAAGAGTGGGATAATAGAGAATATTTTGGTGAATAAAGAGAGGGAGAGGAAGTTAACTAAAAAGATCCTTACTAAAAATATTGTACTAAAATGTGTCTTATTTCCTAAGAAATCTCCTAATAGGAGAAATAATACTAACGCTAATAATTAATAATAATAATAATACGCTTGAAAGATTTGTGTTAAATTTAACACAAATGGTCCCAAACAGCCCACTCAAATTTTTGTGTTAATTTAACACAAAAACTATAATACAACAATTTATAAGCAGTTTTTTTCCTTCATATATTTATAATTCTGATTTATATGTCTATAAATATTTTGAACATTTCTCGCATTTTCTCAAGGATTACATATAAAAGATCTATAAATGTATAAACTTGAATTTCTTTATGCGACTATCATTATGCAGCTCATAGAAACTTTCAAATAAGAATTATCTCTCTTGAAGATCATCAATTTATAGCATTCTTTTACGTGCTGACTCGTATTCGACGAAAAACGATGGATTGCCGCGAATTCGTGCATATAAATATAATTATATTGGAACGAACACGGGTATAGGAAGTTTCTTTATTAAATTTAGTTGCCGCTTTGACGATGCAATGTTATTTACATATTTTTAATACGTTTTGGAAACTGGGAAACTAAAAGAGAACAGATGAATTTAAATGTGTACGAGAGTCATATCTATCTCTTATTATAAAATTATTACAATCTCGGATTAATTGCCTTTACATTCCATCGTGCGTGGTCATTCATATTAAAATTTTTATTAACGACTATTTAATTAAACTCCTAGATCATATACTTTAGAGAATGCAACATCAAGTAAAACCTGACTTTAATATTTTAATTGTTTAAGCAATTTCGTATTCATTCTTTTTCACATTCACGTTTTTTTTCAAATAGGAGATAATTGAATTCTTTTTCAGAAAAATAAAATTCCGAGGAAAATTTCTAAGGAGAGATCAGAATAACGCTGCTATTAGCATCACGTATCCAATAAAAACTGATAATAGCGTACGTGCCCAGAAAATATATTCAAATAAGTTTGAGATTAATCGCACTCCCACGCATGGCAAACTCACGTGATAACGCGGTCCGTACGTTGCCAAAAATTTTCGCGATAAATTTCAACCGGGCTGGAATCAAATATGTGTTGGTGATCAAACGCGACCGGACGATCCTCGGGGAATGCTTGGTAGCCGAAGTATCTCGCTCGGTAACCGCCTGGAACTTCGTCCTTTTGTGTCAGAATTTAGGTGCGCGACATTATCAAATGGCCAACAGCCGAGTGCGCGCATCCACCGACTTGTTTAACATTCCAGCCGATACTGGCCGTGGGTATAACGACGGGTCGTTATTCATGAAAAATACGTGAATCTTTATGAAATGAAATTTCTAAAAAAAAAAAGGATCCACCGTAAAGTGATAGCGCCAAATTAAAAATTCCGCCCGGTGTTCCGTACACGACGGTAACGGGATTTAATAATAAACAAATTCGGCGAAACCCGCAAACACTGTGTTTCGCAAGTCTCTCATCTAGCAGCTGCAACGAGCATAAGCGTGTGGCATTCGTTCGCGTTTGCCAAGATATTGTTGCCCCCGCGATGAATCACGGTGTATGAAACGGTGGATCACGTTTCTTGCAACAACTGACTTCGAACTTTATTAAATCGGACGCGTGTTCCTTTCGATCGCGATTTGATGCGACAGTTTTTATATAGTTTAATGAAAATAATCTATCATTGTATCTCCTCCATTTTAATGCTACGCGGAAATAATATTTTTGATAGAATATCTATAAAAAATTTAGCTAGATATAAATCTAAAAATAATTTTGTTGATTAATGTTGTAAAAAATTTTTGACATTCTAGTAATTTTCAGCGTTATAATTAATTAATTTGATGCTCCAACAAAAAATTATTTTCAAATGTACGTCTAACTAAATTTTTATATATTATATACTTCAGCAGAATTGTTTTTTCCGTGTATAGACAATAAAAACGTCTTAACTTTGATTGAATTTAGAAACATCGACGTTGTGTGTGAGAAAAAAAAGGAAGAAAGATTAAACGGTAGAACGGAATAATAAAAATTAATTAGCAGAATAGTGTGAATCTTGATGTACAATTATCCCGATGTAATATTACAAGCCGCGTTTTTTTTTTCTGTTTTCAGTGGACAAGGGGGTGCTGGATCAGAGCGCCGACAATCAGCAGGTAATCGAGAGGTGTTACCCGTTACCACCTCAGAATACCCTGATGCTGTCGGAGCTCCCAGAGCCGCCGATACCGTTGAGCGAAATTGGCCCTATACCACCCCCGCCCATGTTCAGCTCCCCGAGTCCTACTTTGCTAGCGAGACAACGGCAAATACCGCTCTCGGACTGCGAGGACGAGGGTAAGTGTCCGTAATGAAACATTAATGCCGCGGAAGAGGAGAGTATTAGAGCAATTAATTGGAGCAATTAATCACATGATAGAACCTCTTCATCGCTTATTGGAGTCCCCTGTCGTTGACACGATTCTAAGATGACCGATAAATCAGTAGTGTTCTGTATAAGCAACAACGCGTGCTCTTGTCATTTCTGTTAGTTTGATTTTTAATATAGTTATATATATAGTTATAAAATTACGATCATAATAACGACGCATATCATTATGGAATTATTTAATACTGTTTATCTCATTACTGAGAATTTAATTCCATTGTTAATTATCGAGTTGTGCTAATTGATAATCGCAATTTTCTGTTGTGTCAATGCACTTGCCCCCGCAACCACGACGTCTGCTTATTGTTAGTTATTAACTATCGAACGTTACAATTATATCATTGAATATCCATAAATGAATCCCAACACGTAGTATAATTATATGAATCCGAAAGAGCAATCGACGCATTTGCATGTTATATTATTTATATTTATATTATTATTTGTTAATTTTATTTATACAATGCATTTATTTCTTACACAAATCGCTAAATTTATTTTAGATATATATATATTGTTGAAAATTGCTATTGCAACATCAAGAAAGAAACATCAAAATTTAACTCTATTTTAGGAACAAAATCCATAAACATATTAGGAGAAACAGTGTGAACGAATGATTATGGTTTCAAAAGATTTATTGCACAGTTGAAAAATATTCAGTTTTAAAAAAATATTTTGTAATTTAATGTTAGGTATAATTACCATTTAAATATATGCTTGAATATATTCTAATTTTTGCGAACATTTTAACTTCAGTGTGTTAATTAAAAATGACATATTCAAATTGAGTATAATCTGACATAAATAATGACATAAATAATGATATAGAATTTCATTCTAATCAAATGTCTATTTTTGGTATTGCAATTTCAACGTTCCGACAGTGTATTTACTTGAATTTTTCAAGCTTTGATAAATGACATCACAGCCGTTTGAGCTTTTTGATTGTGTACAAACACTTAAAACTATTTGATTTCCATGTATAAATCAAACATGAAGTAATTGCGTTTCATCGATTCGGATCCTCTTGGTTATATAAGTTTTCTTGCTGTTTGCCCCGATAGATGAGGAGGATGGCGATGTGGAAGAAGAGGACGACAATATGTACCTCTTCAGGATGTCGCAGCCTGATCCGGCGATTGATACGTCTCGTGTCGAGGAGATACCGGCGAAGGAGCCGAAATTCCATGCCGTGCCGCTGAAGAGTGTCCTGAAGAAACGAGGCTCCGGAAGCGGGCCTGGTACGCCTCAAAACACTCCGACGCAGGAAAACAGGCCGCTGACGCTTCGCCAGGAGCTCCATGCCTCGTTCAAGTTAGTGCTCTCCTGCGACTTCGCAGAATACTTCGCTTTACATATGCTCGAGTATATCCATTACTGCAGAAGTGTTCGAGAAGGGAAATCAAAAACTCGAGCTGTCAAACTTCCATTGCATGTTGGTTCAAAGCGTCAGGAAAACAGGGAAATTACGCAGAAGTACAGTTCATGTATAATTTTTAATGAATAATGTAATTCAATTATACTGTTTTACTAAAACGTTTTTTTTTTTATTAAAAGAATATCATTTAGAAAAAAATCAAAATGACAGAGAAATGAGGAAAATTCATAATTTGTAAGGTTTATTTTAAAGTATAAGATATTCTGAAAGGAAAATTAGAGACTGGAGTTGTCAAAATTACTTCTATTGAACATTAGTTTAAATCGTCGGAAAAGAGGAAAATTGTGTGAAAGTATAGCTCATATAATTTTTTTGTGATAAATAGTTAGTAATAAAAAATGGAACGCGATTACACATTTTTACTAACTTTTTTTTTTATTATTATAAAAGAATACTCGTGAAAAAATGTAAGAATGAGAAGAATTCATAATTTATGAGATCCATTTTAGATACTTCATGCTTGAAGAATTATGAAGTTACTTACCTTTGCATTCAAGCATCTGATAGGAAAATGCATCATCTCCTTTGTAACGCATTACATAATCGCGTTGAAATCGTAAAAAAAGTTCGTAGGACGTAGATCGTATCACTTTGAACCAGCACTTTGCAACGGTCGCGTCAACATTTAGGAGACAAAAAAACGTGAAATGAATGTGAAGCGCAGATATTTGTGGATTTTTCTCTCGAACGCTTTGCACCGAAACTCGAAACTCGCCGTAAGAATCGGGCGCTCTTCGAGAGTCATCCGGCGTAAATTCGCCGGGATAATCCGCTTTCTACGACTTTTCTTTAATTAAAAATCGTTGTCAGAAGCCCGCTTTCTCGCGGGTCTCTTGTTGTTTGATATCGAAAACCTCAGAAAGCATCGAATCTACAAGCAGGCTTCAAGTGCCCTGCTCCACCGTGGTATCATTACGCGCGGTCTTATAATGAAAGCAGTAAGAAGCAGATGTCGAAGAGCCCTAATTTTTTCCGAACGTAATCCTTTAATTTCCTGTCTCGCTGCTCGAAGTTTTCTTGATAACTCGCGTCGACTGCCCGGTTGAATAAATCTCTTGAATTATTTAATTCAAAGGAGGATGTTAGGAAAAAGCCGATTTTTTCTCAAAAAGATGTAAGTAGAAAAAAGTGTTTTTTAAATAGATTTTAATTTCCTGGATGTAATAAAGTTATTAGAAAGCTGTCATGGCGTTTGGGAAATACATCGAAAATTGGATAAGAATATTAAAATTTGAATAAATACATCATATTCGTGCTCAACTTTTTAGATATTCCCGAAGCACTACGAACTTTTAATAATTACTTTTTAATAATTTTATTAGATCCAGAAATTTACAAAAAATACTATTTCTTTTATATCTTTTTGATAAAAAATCGACCTCTCTTTCAACATATTTCTTTTTACAATGATAAGCTTTATTTAAAATAGAATTGGCATTAAAATAATTCTAAGAATATATTAAGTGTTTGAATATTATCTAAGTTTCTAAAATATTAACATGTTGATTGCTATCAAAAATTTTAAAAATATCAAAAAATAAATATTATTCAATAACCATAAAGTTTTGAATGACACAAATAGCTAGCGTAAAATAAAAAGTGCACAATTTACACGGAGAGAACAGTTTTACTGAAGTATTTAAAAAGTTAGCTAAATACTGATCTAAAATAATTTTGTTGAATTTTCAAAACAATTATAAGACTTAAGCTAGCCCCTAGAATGTCAAATTTTTTTAACATTGCTTATCATACTTGAATTTGTTACGTAATTATTTGGATGGTCCAACAAAATTATTTTATTTGTATCTAGTTAAATTTTTGGAATGTTTCAGTAAAATCGTTCTTTTCGTGTGTTTATTTGATCCATATTACACATAATTTAAAATTTTGAGCTGGATAATAACTCAAAATAAAAAAAAATTTGCATAATTCACGTACCCATGAGAATAAAATTTCATTTAATTATACTACACAATAGTTTATCATTATTTATGATAATAAAAATTCTACTGTTGCATACACGATAAATTATACAAAAACTACTGGGCAGACAAAACGTGTTAAGTATACACGGTATTACAGTGTTATGATGTAATCCGAAATGCGAGATGGGATTATTAAACGTACGCTCTCTCAGGCGAGTATTCATAGAATGTACTTCGTGCACCCGTCATTAACATATCAGTCATTAGTAAAGCATCGTATTTTTCTTATGCTTAACCAGAAGGCCACCGTTGAGGCCTAGGATGAGAATATGGTAATTGGTCATTGGTCTAACTAAGCATGTTTGCAAACCGATGGTATATATACATATATGTACATATACGTATCATGTATATTGTTTTTTACGTCTTTGTCTTACGGCGCTGTTGATCGCGAGAGAACCAAAATGTTCTAGTCTCTCCTCCACTTTTATCTCTCTTAGTGACTCCCTTCGCGAGTCATGTGAGCGCCGTGAGCATGGCAATGTCCAACATTTTAAGCATGAGAAAACCTTAGGGAAACCCATGAAAAATCTCGTCTTACGCTTGTCACGCAGCCACCATTCGATCACGCTCGACACATCACGTGAGTCGAATATCGCATTAGAGGCGGGACAAGTTTGTTAGTTTCCTTTACACGTGATCGATCGATCTCGTGATCCGTCGACGGTTCGCAAAGTAACTTGCGCAATTTGTGTAAGTCGGATAATTACGACGAGGAAGTGTCGCGATTAACTATTCCGTTCCTGTAAGTATATAACTTCCTCCCTTCTCCTCTCCCCTGATTTTCCCGATGCATTTATATCTTTGGTATTAAAATTATCCGATTATTTTGATTGTTAATTATTTTGTGTGTTAATCCTGTTATAAGAAAAAGCATGTAGTCCTTTTCATATTGATAATAGTGAACAATAAACTCTAATCAACATTGTTTCTCATTAAATAATAAGTGTTTCTCGTTGGATTGTTTACATTGAAAGAATATATATACTTTCTCAAAAATTCCGTCATCCTTTAATATTTAAAAGCTGTTTGAATTTTTTTGTATACTAATAACGCAAATTCCCAATATGTGTAATATATAGCTATTCTTTTTATATGTAAAACATTTTATATGTAAACCTTAATGTGATGATATGAAGCTTCTTTTATTGTTCATGTATAATTTTAAGATATATTAAAATAATAAGATTAGCAATATTTAATGTCAAAAGTTATACTGATTTAAAAGATTTCTGTTTCTCAACACCTGAATGATAATTTGTATTTTACCCCGTAAAGTAAAAGGAAAAAATTATAAATATTGTTTAAATTTCTAGAGATTTTTGAAAAACAAAGTCTTTTATTTTTCAAAATCTATGAATGGTGGAACTTTCCTGACTTTCTTATATTCTTTTTCAGTAGCTAAAAATACATAGAATTACTATGCAAGTATTGAGAAAGAGTAATCTATAAATCAGTGTAATTATTTTTGGGGTATTTGATCCTTAAATATCAGTTAGTAATATAGATAGATAAAGTATATTAATTATATATTTATAATTTCATATGGTGATATTATCATAAATATTACGTCCTTATCTGTAACTTCTTTACCATGCCCTGATTTTTGCAAAAAATGATGGAAAACTTACGAACGAGATATTATGTATTGTATTTTTAATTAATATCGTATTAACTTGTCGATTATTTTCCAAAATTACACGTGTCTGTTGAAGTTAACTATTAAAAAATTAATACCTTTTATTGATGTTGAATTAAAATAGGTATCGCGAATCTTAAGCACACGCAACAAAAAACGTTAGTACTGCCGGAGCTTTAGTTCATATTACATTATTGCAGCTTTGATGCTTTAAGCGCGCCGGCTTTTTACTTTTGAAAACGCTTTGAAAATATTTAACCTGAGGCACCTCACTTCTGACGTCACGCATATCGCTCGAGAAAAAAGATAAATTAAAAATTTAGATATTAAAAGATACAAGTGCATAAGCTGTGATGTGCCTCACGTTTGGACTTTTACGAAATTTTTGATAATTTTGCAATATTAATTATCCTTAAAAGCACAACACAAAAAGAGGCTGAAGTATCCCGACTTTTGGAAGTTACTGTAATGTTAAATGCAAATATTATGACAGTTCTTGCGATAAACTGCTGCGAGAAGGGAAAAAAACTTTTTCTCAAGAACACTGCGTACACAGTCAGGAGAAGCGCTTGCGCTAAATATTCGTGAAACATTTCTTAGTGCCTCCTATTCTTGGAAGAAAATCTTCCGCGATAACTTCCAAAGTTTAAGTACAAAAATTCCCAATATGCTGCAGCAAGGTAGTGCGCTTACGGATCGATCCAAGAATAGCTACTTCGGCACGTTGAATGTGTGCCAGATCTCTTAATTTCCATAATTATTGTAATTACTATCCATAATTTTCCCATGTTCGTCACATGGCCCGAAATTTTTGCAATAAATTTTCCTCATCACGCGAATATGTCGCCTTTAGATCGTGTGTGGCGTATGAAATATAAGAAGAATAATTTTGCTGAAGTATCTAAAAATTTAGTTAAATGCAAATTTGGAAATAATTTTGTTTGGACCATCAAAATAATTATGTAGGACGCTCAAATTAGTTGCTAGAACGTTAAAACTTTTTGCAGCATTGTCATCAACATCCTCGCTTAAGCGATTCTATATAATTATTTTAATAGTCCAACAAAATTATTTTAAAATTAGTATTAAAAAAAAGAAAGAAGTTTTTGCTGGAGAATCTAAAATTTTAATTTCAAATACAGATCTGAAAATAATTTTATTTGGACTATCAAAATAATTATGTATGCTCAAACTGTTTGTTAGAATGTTAAAATTTTTAGCAGCATTGTCATCAAAGCTTAAGTTTTACATAATTATTTATAGTCTAACAAAATTATTTTCCCCAATCTGAACACACAAAAAGAATGGTTAAGCTAAAGGATCTAAAATTTTAACTAGATACAAAGTTGAAAATAATTCTGTTTGGACCGTCGAAATAATTTGCGAATTAGTTGCTAGAATGTTAAAACTTTTTGTAGCTTTGTTATCAATGCTTAAGCATTGTATTTTACATTATTATTTTAATAACTAAACAAAATATTATTTTCAAAAATCTGCATACAGAAAGAACGATTTTACTAAAAAAAAAAAGAGTCAAAAATTTTAATTAAATACAGATCTAAAAATAATTTTGTTTGTACAATCAAAATAATTATGTATGCTCAAACTGATGTTAAAATGTTAAAATTTTTAGCAGCATTGTCATTAAAGCTTAAACATTCTACATAATTATTTTAATGTATCAACAAAAGTATTTTCAAATGTGTACACAAAGAATTATTTTGCAGAAAAATCTAAAATTTTAATTAGATACAGATCTAAAAATAATTCTGTTTGAATGATCAAAATAATTATGTAGGATGTTTAAACTGATTGTTAGAAATGTTAAAACTTTTAGCAACGTTGTCATCAAAACTTAAGCGTTCTACGTAATTATTTTGATGATCCAAATAAAATCATTTTTAGATCTGTGTCTAGTTAAATTTAGTTAACTTTAACAAAACTGTTCTTTTTCCGTGTACTTAACTAAATTGTTTGATGCTTCAGCAAAACTGTTTTTTCTGTGTACGAAGAATAAAGTTTGCATATGCGGCATTCAACGTGTCGAATGATAACAGCCGGACTTGAGTGGCCGAGCGAAATATGCGCGAGAAACTCTGTCATTTCACATGGCGTTCGCCCCCGTTCTCGACGTGTCACCCGCCACTATGCATTTCTCCATCCCTTTTTTTTTCTCCATCCCGGCATATACCCCATATTCGCATCTCGTTCTCTTGTAGCACCGTAGAGTAGAACATTGGTTCACGTAGCATCAACCAGCGATTGCGTATTGCCGAAGACTCGGACTAAAGATCTTGCATGTGCTTCTTTCAGCAGTCGCCCGGTCAGATTTGGCCTCGCTCTACCCTGTACTTTAGAGAACAAGGAGAACGCGAGACCTTACGTCATCCGAGAAGATGCGGACGGCGACTCCGGCGACGGACAAGTCCTCTACAGGGATGATTATGACGATGAGAAAAGTGAGTTACTCCGTTATCGATTTTATGAAACGTTTGCAAATCATCTGTCATCATGGAAAGAAGAATTTTGCTAAAAATCTAAAAATTTAATTAGATACAAATCTGAAAATATAACTTTGTCGAACTATTAAGATAATAATTTACTGAAAAGTCTGGTAATAATAATAAAGCCTAGATGATAGTTACTAAAGCGTAAAGTAATTTCAATCAAATATATTTGATTAATATATAATTAAAACCATCTAAATGCTATTTTTACTTTTTTTTAAATATTACTTTATTTTTTTATAAACTATTATCAAACGATTGATTATTAATTATTATGACTGGTAAAATTTACTAAATATTTGTGTGATAACTAAATATTTTCTCAATAAAAAAAATGATAGTTAAATCAAATTAAATAAATATATGTTTACATTAAATAAATATTTACCTAACTATTTACTAGAACTATTCGACAAACATTTATTAAAATTTCGTATTTTTTATCAATGTAGCTATTGCCAGATTATTTTTTAGTATGTAGAAATTTTTTAGTATGCTGAAACTGATTGTCAGAATATCAAAACTTTTTGCTCATCATGCTTGATACATTCTGTATAATTATTTTGATAGTTCAACAAAATTATTTTTAGATCTGTAACTAACTAATTTTTTAAATACTTTAGCAAAATTGTTTTTTCTATGTAGCAATCATTCCATATAAAAGTTCATTGAGATCGTCACTATCATATCTTGTTTGTATATTTCGTCATATTGCACATCGGAAAGCAGTCGCGTATAGTAAATACATATATAGATAGTAAAGAAATTATTAATTATAACTAAAATATTAAAAATTAGAATGAAATAATTGTTTATTATACAACTTGCTTAATTGATAATTAATCATTAATGAGAGATAAATATTTATTATTATTACTCGATATTAATTAGTTTGTACAAACTACATAAAATGTATACCAAACAGAGAACATAATAGATGAGCAATATTGCAGCATACTTTACATCGTGATAATCAATGTGAATTCATAGAATGAATTTTGCAACTCGATTTTTCCTCGATGTTTTGGAACACGTGCTTGCCTTTGGGCAATCAATTAGGCAGATAGTAACTTTATGTTGCTTCACCAGTTGCAAATTTGAAATTTTGATGGACGTTCTACGTTGCATCATAAAAAAAAAGTACGGCGGCGGATCATGTCGATCGATGAGACCCGCGGCTGAGAGTCAATCGTATTTTTCGTGAAAAATAAATATGCTCTCTACTATAAAGATTTGTATCAAAATTCCGCGGCAACGAGAGGCTTAAATCGTGTCGCGTCTGTGTGCATAGCGATAAAAATGCGCGGTCACGAATGCAGTTACGCGAAAGCGAGGGCCATGTTTATTTCACGCCTCCGCTTATGCAATTTTCCATCGAGATATGAGGTTTCAAACTCACCGACGTGATTCGGTTGAATGGACTTCCGAACGAATTCATAAATAGTCTCACGTTGTATTCGCGATAACGTTCTCTCTTTTTCCGCATGGGAAAAGATAGATGCGGCAGACCGTTTCTAAATCTCGAGGATATTGCTAGGAAAAAAGCTCTCTAAGTCAGTCGCAGGTGGCAGAAAAACTTTGCGGAATGTGGAAATAAAAAGAAGTTGGGTGAAACTTAGCGAATGGTCACCTTCAAATATTTACGAAAGTTGAGAAAATTCAAAAGAAAGGGGAAACTTCGATGTGCCGTCAAATAATCAATGTAAGCTCTCCTAAAAAAAAAATCTAAGATTCATGTTTTCGCATTTTATATAGCACTCTACTCTCTACTGAATAAATTTATTTGTAATTCAGTATTTAGTGCAACACTATATGCTATAGATAATTCGACATCTCATAAGTTAGCGGAAGAAAATGAGCAGAACCAATTCCAACTGCTCTTTTTATTTGTTGCTTATTTGTTATTAAAAAAAAAGTTACCTAAAAAAAAATTTGTCTATATATAAATCGGTGAAAAGAATTATCTCTCTCTGCCAAGACCGGTGCTTCTAGCACGACCATTTGGATTAAATGTCCACAGGAACATCACGTTGATTTTTCTCACGATACATTCGCGCGATTACTCAACACTTTAAATCAGTCTTCAGTGACCAGACTAATTATACTCGTGCCAGGTGGCATGTATATGTTTGTAAGCGAATACTTAGGAGGTGGTTTATATTAATCCCCGAAAATAGCTGGCAAATAGCTCAGTCTGTAGTCGTTCTTCTATCTGGATTTATCGCTACGCGATTTTCGCTCGTTAAATTTTTATTAAATCGCGTAGGTGTGAAATTGCTTCCTCAAATCAATTATCGAACCCTAAATTCGTACATCCGTTCGTAGTTTCAGACTTGTTCTCGGAATGTGTGATCGAGAGCGTAGTAATTCCCGAAATACGCGACGCAGAATGGCCATTGCGAAGGCTGACGGTAATTAATACTGTCGAAGCGACGATTTCGGTCCCTTCGAACACGCTTTTCATCCTGAAATCGCATTCGTAGGAGAGTGAGAGCGATGACACGATGCTGTCGATATGGACCGCGTCGACGGTGTCGATCGTCTGCGCCTCAATCGAGCCGGCCGAACACGCCCCGCTGCTGTTGCATCGCAGCTTCAGCTGCTCGTCGATCGTGGAGGGTAATTAATCAGCAATTGCGACGTGCGATCGGACATGAAATTAATTAACATCGACGCGCACTTCGGTCAACGTCTATGCGAAATTCATTCTAGACTTTACATGCTAATTTAAATCCATGTAAGAAAGAAAAAAAAAGGAGGAATCATTTAATACGTTAAATCAGAACTTTTAACTTCCTTCAATCCACAGCACATTAATAACAAGCTAAATTTCTCGACATCGATAGGTGCACATACTTCAGTGCTAAGCATAGATCTTTTATCAGATACCGTTAACTCGATGTTCAGAAATAAAAAGTGATGTTTTGAAATTTTTAATTTTCCATTTCATCGTTTTCAAAGTAATTATATTGCAATGACGAGAGATCGCTTTGGTTAAAATGAGAGTAAATATAATATAATTCAGATAATTTTCAGAAATTAAAATTTGAATAAAAAAACTTATCTAGATTTTTATAAGATTATTATCTTAAGATAATACATCTCTACTAGATTTATTATAAATTACTCCATTTTACGATATCGATATGCAATAATTCGAATAGCGAATTAATGAATTAAACGCAAATTCGATACCTTCTGTCTCAACAGGCCGTTTGGCAGCCAAGATCGCGCGCAAGGAATCACTTTCGCTGAAACTCGCCCTTAGGCCAGACAGACAGGAGCTCATCAACAGGAACATCCTTCAGCTGCAGACAGATAATGAGAGGCAGGAGACGAAAGAGGCCATCGGCGCCAAGCTTATCAGGTAAGAGACTTGTTCGGTCGTCTATTAGATAGCGTTCGCGTGATTGCATCAGGGATAAGAGGATTTCGAATACGTATTTGCCTATATTTTCGTTGAAGGCGAGAATTGCAAATTGGCACGTCGTAATGAATCTTCTACGTCTAATTTAAAATTACGTTTAACTAACAATCTACTTTAAGGAATCTCGAGGGATCCTCTGGTGAGTTAGGAAATCGTATAAATTTCAATTGAACAGCACACTGACAGTCACACTGTCAGTTGATAATGAAAACATAATTACTATAAAGTCTTTGCGTGTAATTTAATGAAAGCTCTGTAAAATCAACAGAAGATATAATATCGATAAAGCTTCATAATCTTTTTACCGTTTAATATTCGAAATTCGGATTTCTCTGTTATTCCTCCCTTGTTAAAGAATTCATTATTAAAATGATTTTTCGATATTATAATTCGAAATTATGTATATATAATAATTTCTGGAATATTCGTTTCTTCTTTCCCTTCTCTTTTTATCGATGTCAGTCTGTCGTTGACTGATATCCAGCTCATGTAAAAACGAGCTTGAAATAACAGCTGTCTCTCGTAAAGATTACGCGCGAATAATAGGACGAGTCGTCTCGGCCACAGTGAATCACATTGTTTGCACAAAGCGGATGCCTCGCTTTCTCCCTCGAATATCTCTCTCACTCGCAAAGGAAGATTAAAGCGGCCGATGAACTTGCATTGACTCTCGTGCCATTTTCATTTCAGGCGGTTGAGCATGCGGCCGACCCAGGAGGAACTTGAAGAGAGGAACATTTTGAAAAGTAAGTCACTCTATTCGTTTTCTTTAATGACGAACGACGATCGAGAAAAAATTCCGACATTATTTTTTTAATATTATTTTAAAGCTAAATTTAAAAGAAAATTTCTTAAAAGTAAGAAATTATTTACGTTTTAATTCGAAATACATAACACTGTAATTGAACATATTTTTTGCTTTGCCAAATCTAATTGCGAATTAAAATCTAATCCTAATTTTTCTTCGATTCTTTTTAGAGCAAAGCCCCGCCGAGGAAAAGAAGCAAAAGGAGGAGAAAAAACGTTATCTGCTGCGAAAGCTGAGTTTCCGACCGACCGTTGAAGAGCTCAAGGAGAAAAAGGTAAAAAGATCCTTTTAGGTAAAGCCTCGCGGATTTTTGTTGCGTTACCTATTTTTTAAAGATAGAGATTGGCTGTACCAAAAAAGATATATCGTCGAGTTTAAGTTCAGCCAATATTTTATCGTATCTCATTTTACGGAGAAGCTATTTTCTTTCTGATAAGAGCCTCGCGAGCTATACGATAAAGCTATAAAAGCAAAAACCGATATACTTATCTTCTCCCCTTCATTCTGTAGATTATTAGGTTCAACGACTATATTGAGGTAACGCAGGCTCACGATTACGACAGAAGAGCCGACAAGCCTTGGACGCGGTTAACTCCGAAGGACAAGGCTGCTATTAGGAAGGAGTTAAACGAGTTCAAGAGTTCGGAGATGGCCGTTCACGAGGACAGCCGACACCTCACCAGGTACTTGATGCTCTACGAATTTATAGCGGCACCACTTTAAAAGCACATTTAGCATCATCTCAGTATTTCGCTAAAATGCCCTACGAAATATATGCAGTCTTGTAAAAATAGATAATGAACGTATAATGAAATCGTCTTGAATTACCAAAACGAAATTATGCTCGATATAATTTAATTATCTGATGGAAGCTCTCTCGAATATTAAGTCTATCGATGTTAATGAAAACTTTTATAACTATTGCATATATTCACAATCATAATTAAAATATTGTTTCAATTTAGAATTTTTTTGAAAGTTCTTCAGGAAAGTTGCTAATTTTGAGATGTGTCACTTTTCTACTCAACGCTACATATCGATTTACAATGTTTTCATAACTAATGCTCTTGGTTTTCAATTGCAGGTTCCATAGGCCATGACAATTGCAATGTGTTGAGGTGCTACAGTGTGGTGCGGGTATACGTGAAGGTGCAGTGTGGTGGCTTCGTGTTGAGGCTGGGTGAAGAAGAAAGAAAGAGAAAATCGGCTATCGTTATTTCCGGATCTAAAGCCGGAACGATACTCGTCCGATCGTGACGGTGATTTCTTTGACGTTGCTGCGTCGTGTCGTTCGTCGTTGTCGCCAAGCATCATCTACTGGCACTTCTTCCATCATCGTCATTTATACACGTCAACGACAAACGCCACTATGACGTCGACGAAGATTGTGATAGGGTGACTCGCCGCCCCATCGAAGAGGACTTGGCGGGTCGCTCGCCGATTTCTTTTCATAAGGGTCGTTCACACCCGTGCTTAGCCGAGCAATTGTTTACGCTCTTTCCGACATCTACTCAACTATTCTTCATATTTGTATCTTCGACGCTGATCTCGTTATAGTACACGCGTCAAGGCGTTTGTATTCTCAAGATATCTTGAAATATTCTTAAAACTTTGCGCGAAAAATTCTCAAGTAGGTACGCTACGCGCAAGTATCTTCTTCTGCATTAAACGACATCATTGAAGCTTACAAAACTACCTTCGGGTTCAGCTCTTGAAAGCTTTGCCGTTGTGAAAATCAAAACGTTGTATAGTAAATAAGACTTTTTTATCGAGACGCTCATGTGTGTCCGGCATGTTTAAGCTGAACAAGATCGAAAGTCATTTTTAATTATATATCCTGTCTAATTCATAACTTTCTTGTTATGAATTTTTTAAATTATTTTTCTTCGTTGTACAATATATTTAAGAATCGAGGGACACACGTCTATTACGAATGGTATTTTAGCGATAAAGAGATTACGGTGGAAGCGCGTGTCACATGCATACCGATGCATGAGAATGTACAGATTCGCGTGAAAATTAATCGTGCTTAAAATTAAGCGTGAGCGTAATTCTAAGGACATTACGAGCGCGCGTGTGAACATACCCTTAACATGTAAACACCATTTTGCAATCAAGCTAGCTCATCAGTGTCACCTGGCATCGTTGTATATGTAAATGTTTCTCAAGTTTCGAACTATTGTAATACAGAGATATGTAATATATCTCGTTGATATCACGAAAAAAAAAAAGAATACTCGAACCCTGTAACGATTATTCGAGGATCAAACAGGAGGTACATCACAAGCGATATATCTCGTAAATAACGTCGAGTAAAGTGAGTTCGGTTTAGTTAAAAAAAATGTTTTAGTATTAATATTTTTATACGTTGACGAATGAACAGCAGAGAGTTTCCGCAAAATCATTTTTCGATATACCCCTCATTTTTAATGACTAAGATTCGGCTGACGTCCGAAATTGTGATTTATGATAATTCCATGTTCTTACGATTTTCGCGCGATCCGCGTAGAGAGTATATTCATTGCTTGGGACTTCACTAATACTATTACGTGCATAGTTCGTTAAGCTCTTCGTATACACCGCGCGAGGAATGAAAACAGTGATTTAGTATCTACGACAATCGGTCAACTGTTCGATCGACAAAACTGTTTTCCTTTACTGCCAGGTATCACTCTCTCGTAGAGCTGCCTTGAGGAGCAAGCGCTTACGATTATTATCTAAAAAAAAAAATTAATATAATTGGACGTACACTTCGCGTTCGTGGGAAATCAGAAATGCATTGTGCAATTAAACTTTGTACAGGAGTAGGTAGCGTGTACATTAGTGACTATTATTATCATCATTGTTATATCGATAATATCGCTATAGGGACGCTCTATGGTCCTCGTTAATTTCGATCGCGTGCGCACTTTTTGCGGCAATATTAACAAATTCATTAAGAGCAGATGCGAAGATCGGTTGTTGTTCCGTATTCGTTAAGTGCGAATAAATTCACAATGAAATCTCATTAAAAAAAAGAATACAATTAAACGCATTTACAATAAATACGTATGTTTACTGCGTATTTTGAAAGATACATTTATACAATGGCCAGATAATAAAAGAAATACATCGTTAAAACCCAGGATTCACGGCCATTTATTATCAAATTAATTTATGCTCGCATTAACCGCATCGGAGCATCAACAATAATTACTCTGCTCATGTAAAAGCAATCTGATGGGTCAACAGTGGATTGTAGTTCTAAGTTATAGTCCTGTCTAATAATACTGATGGAAAAAAAAACATTGAATTAGGCAGAATTAGACGCTAACTGACGCTCGGTAACGATCGGGCTTTTAGTATCAAGAAACGTTCAAGTTCGTTCTCAACAGAGAATAGAAAGAAGGAAAAAAAAAAGTAGACGCGTTACAAATCGCCATGTTGCGCGCAAATTTGTATCTAGATTCTTTAGCTGATCGAAAGAACGAAGTCCAACGACGAAGGAGGAAAAAAAGAGTAGGTAAAAAACGAGAAGACACGTGCCTCGATGTGCGATGTCTTGCACGCTTATCTCTGGAAGCTTCTTGCATCCCCGCCCCGCTTTATCCTACCTACCCCAGTTATGCGAAACCGACCCTCCTGCTTCACATCGCAGTTGACGCGATGAAGGTTCGTCACATCTCCTTGTTTTGGAGAACCTGCGAGCGAAGCCAAAAGAAAAAAAAAAGAAAGAGATATCGCGAGCTATGATCTTACGCGACAGATGAATCTACGGCAGCGGTGAGTAAAACGAAGTCGCGGTCAACACAACAACTACTTTCCTCTCCTCGTTTAGAAATCCTAGTTTTTAACGATCGTCCAATGGGGTGAGAGGATCGGTGTGTAATGTGTCGATCTTTCTCTTAACCCGTCGGTGAACTCAGCTGTTCGATATTAATTCGTCAACTTCGAGGTCGTCGAAGGTATAAAGGATGAGACGCCTCTACCTTCGGGAAATACCACGAAGAAACACGTCATAAGGAACGTCATAAAATAATAAGCAGGGAGATTAAAGTGTCTCTCTCGTTCCATTGGTCGAGCGCTGTGGCTACCATGTAGTCGACAAATATATCCATTTCCGGATTGCCTGGGTCGGTATGAATGCATGCCCGCGCGAGTATGAATAATGTGCATGGAGAGAAAGATAGGAGTGAGTGAGAGAGAAAGTGTGTGTACGACAGATTACGATTACGAATAAATATTTTAGGAAGAGAGTGGTCGAAATATTTGAATGGAGCGTCTCTGCGACAGTCTTTTTCCCTGAGCTACGTTCGAAAATGTATCTTTCCGTTGTCCTGCATACATTTTCATAAGAGAACACCACAAAGAGTCTCCGCGTATCCGCACTAGAAGTAAAATCTAGAAAACTGCAACTTTTCACATTAGAATATTCAGCGTTGAAGTTACTACTAATGAGAAGAGTTGAGCGCTCGTGTTAAATTAAAAATATGAATAAATAACGAAATATATGTTCCTCAGTCAATTTCTTTTTCATTGAGATTTTAATAGGAACGTTAACTCGAAATTAAAATTTAATATTAAAATATTGCTCGAAACTAAAATTTAACATTAAAAAGGCATAATTGCGATGGCTTTTCATAAAATTTTTAGAGAAAGATAGGTTTCAACTTTTTTAAAGAAATTATAATAAGAGTAGCGTTACATCATGGTGAATTCTTCACCAAATATATCGAACGTGAAGAAAAGGAGAGATGCAATTTTCATCGTAAAAATGAAAAAAAATAAAATAATTCAGCATTATTGTCGATGGATCACTTTTAAATCATTTGTATAAAAAATAAATAAATAACTATTTTCAAATGAGAAAAGCTGCATTGACCATAGAATGACGTACGTTCTCGAACGTAGTTTCACATCCCTATCTGTTCGAAGCGTCCACTCTCTGAGCGTGGAGCAAAGGCAAAAGAAATATAAAATGCGAAACATATGTCTAATAATGAATGGTTTTGTGTATGTACATATTAATATATAAAAATATATATATATACATATATTCGCATATTGTAAAACACCGTGATAGGAGAGAGCCCTACTGCTACACGCTACACGATATTACGCAATGTGTAAACGATGAATACTTATAAATACTAATTTTTAGATAACGACGCGCTCTAAATGCAAAAAACAATACACCATATACATATATAAATATACATATAAATATAAATATATATATATATATATATATACATAGATATATATATATATGACGCGTACAAGCAGTATGTGCATTTTCCAGCACAGATAGTTGGTATTTTGTGTACAAAACTGAAAAAACAATTGTTGGACATTCTCTGGACGCGTTCGGGGCCGCGCATCGTGACGGAGGCGAGAGGATGAAAATTAACGTCCGTTTATTAATCTCCGTTGCAATCGCATTGCCGAACGATTGAACAACGAGACGATCGGCCGATCAACGGCGCGGAACGGCACGAACGCGCGTCGCGAACCATCGATCCCGTAGTTACTTCATCATATATCGTCATCCCATCTAAATGTAATGATATTATCGTCCAAGTTTTAGCGCATTTCTCTCTCTCTCTCTCTCTCTCTCTCTCTCTCTCGGTCGCATCCTATTCGACGACGACGCGCGTCCGAACCGTTCCTCTCACGTGTTTCACACAAGTGTATATAAGTGACATACCATTTATTCTGCAAAACCGAATTTGAAAGCGTGTTGAGATTAATTTTCCATATCCTTCAAATGATTCTTTAAAATTCCGGGAATGACACTTCTCCTTTAACTGTTCAAAACTGACACCAAAATCTCTATAATATAGTTACTGACAATGAGCTTGTAAAATATAATATTTAATGTATGTTGATTAAAAGACACTAATTAATTCCGGAAAATCAAAATAACATAATTCGTTAAAAAAAGAATAAATAATAAGTTTATTTTAATAAAAATAATCCAAATTTGCAGCTGTAACGTAAAGAAAATTGAATTGTTTAACATTTTTGTGTAAAATGGCAATTGTTATAATATAATTATGAAATAATAGTAAATTCAAATATAATAATGTATTTTTTATCATAAACATTATTCACAGAAAAAGCTGAATTATTTCTACTGTTTCAGAATCTTTGTTATACAAACAATCACTTCATAGAGAGTCCAATGAACCCATTGTCAGCTCCGGAGAGATATAATTGAGTAAGTCCACGTCAGCTCTAGCGGGTAACGAAAAGAATGAAATATTCCATCTAAGAAAACCTAAATCTCATGACGTTTTCTCGTAAGAAGTCATCTCGCGGTTTGCAGAATAGCGGATGTCCACAGCAGTAACCGTAGTGGAGTCGCTGTAAAAAGAAGCAGAAAGAAAAGCGATGGAAGTCAACTTGTCATAATTATAACTGAGCCGTGAAAACAGACGAACGGGGTCTACTTGTATCATAGCATTTTACGATAGTGAAGCATTGTAACGACAGTAATAATAATAAGGAAATAATTCATAGTTAACTTAAGAGTGAGCGCGAGAGGAGAGAAACGCGTGAGGGAGAGTGTAGGCGGTGCGAACCGGGGGTTCTCCAGTTCTCCAATCCTTTCCGCGATGTTGAAGAGCCTTCGGTTTCACAACCGCGAAAATAAGCTCATGGCATACTTTCACGTGGGATACTCGTCGCACGAATCCTCTGCTCGAACTTGCACCTGCCAAAGGAAAAACGCGTAAATGTCGAGGGTGCGGAATGTCTGCGCGAGGGGAACAAATCAATCGTTTCGAGTATCCGGCGTAGGAAGAATTAGCCTAGAGATTTTTACCAAAATGACTCCACGCCACGAGAGGTGAAGGCAGTTACAGTTAGATGTAATTCATATTTCGTTCCGTTTCAGCGAATGGAAACTTCGCGGTCTTTGAGGAGCAGCATTCGGGGAGTCCGCTGGCGCGATCACTCGGAACGCAATTTTGCATTTTGTCGTACGATTCTGGCGTACTGAAAAAAAAGTCTAGTAATAATAATTAAGTCTAAATGACAAGTTACTACACTGTTAAATGTCAAAGGAGCAATGGTACCCCGATCCTTGAGTAAATAACATTTTGTTATTTGTAACTTCCATATCTGTCAAAATGTAAATCAATCCATTTCTGTGATTAGTTTTAAAATAAACAATGTCTGCACTTAACAAGTAATAAATTAAATTTCAATCAAATTTAATACATTTTCTTGAGTTAAATTATTTACTATAACTTTCTCTCATTGTTTTATATTCAGTTAAATTAATAATATATTCAGTAGAAACGATAATGATTTATTGAAAAATAACTTAAATTAGATATAATTGATATTATGAATTTAACAGTAAATTTTAATAAAATAATTTCTATCAAAGGTTAATAAAATCAACTGAGTGTTAATCCTATTTTCCCAAATATTATCTTATTTTTCTAATTAGATTTGGTTACCATTATGTTTGGTTACATATTAGTGCAATATGTAATATACTGAACAAAGTACATTTAATACGGTAGCTATTATTAGACTTTTTTCAGTGTAGATTTTTATCCAGATTTTTGTTGTGATTGTACGTACATGGTGTAATCAACTTTCCGAAATGTGCGACGGGCAAGATGTTGCGACTCCGCCTCCGTGGAGGATGAAATGATCTCCCTAAATCTTTTTTATTATCGCGCCGTTTCGTCCGGATGCGAGGAATTAATTATTGATAAGATAAAGGTCGTGACGTTAGATCTAGGACGTTTTCTTTTTTAAAAGCAATGCGCACAGAGGCGCTTGAATAATTATGTTGCGCTAGCGATACGACTAGCGATGTAACTATTCGCGCCTCGCGTCGCCGCCGCATAATTTAACTTACGTTCGCATTGTTTTTAAGAAACATTTACTGCACGCGCGAAGCGTATGCTTTTCTTTCCGCTCAGTTCGTCCGCCGATATTAGCGTCGCTCGGTTCAGAACATTCGGCCAGTGATCGACCGCTGACGCGTTGCACGGGACGTAATTTGGAAAAAAAATTGTATTATATATCGAAACCGAAAGATCCTCTACATGTAAGAATAATGATGTATATATATATATTGATTATTACACACGGTAAATTTGAATTAATTGCACTCTCGAGAGAGAAGCTGCCCTTCTGATCCAATGAAAGAATCAAGATGGACTGAGAACTTAGGAGGGCGAAAGAGATGAAATGATGAAATTCATGAATTTATATATATATATATATATATAAATTTATATATAAATGTATATATTTATATATATGTATAGAAAAAAGAGAAAGACAGCACGTTGTTCTCACATTCATTTCGAAAGACGCTGTGTTTCTGATCCAGATCCATTTTTGTTTCGTTGTTAGTTTGTACGCATTACGATTATCGCAATTTATTGTATTATCGACGAGATACTGTAACAAACAAAAATACTGTTAACTATTCTTAAAAAATTAAAACTTTTGTAAACTGAGACCAAACGATTGCCGAAGACTTTACTTATTTGTCGATTCCTTTTTCAGATACTTGAGTGACTTTCGAAATAAGCTATATCGAATTTTTACATACAACATACATATGGAAAAATATGATAAATCAAAGAAAATTACTGATTGGTTAATTTAAATAATTTTATTTGAATTAGACAAGTATTTAATCTAATAATGAGGGATTATTCGGGGAAATAGGTTGATTTTAAAATCTTTGGGATTCAAAGAAATTGTCAAAATTTAATGAAAAATAAGATATTTTTATTCCATATATTATTTAATTCAGTCATATGTGAGAAATGTATTAAATTTAATTTAATTTAATTCTGTCTGAAAAATTCCTATCCTATATTCTGTTTTATAATAAAATTAATTAAATGGATTATAAAATTTGAATATATTTTCAGTATTCAATCACATTTTGTGCAAGAAATTATTTATGAATATCAAAAATAATTCTGCTAGCTTTTCATCTTAAAGTATGTGCGTGTATATAATTAAAGAATGATATATATTTTTTATATATATATATATATATATTTGAGATCATTAATGACTCATTTACGTGGTAATATCATCAGGAAAAGATTCAAAATTTGAAAACTTTTTATTGAAACAATCCATTCTTTGTTGCTGCATTTCTTGTCGATTTTTGACTGCTAAAATCCGGAATGGCGATTCCTATACATAACAAAAAATGACAACACAAATTCATTATTGTCTCTTTAAAAGAACTTATTATCTCTTTAACAAAATATGATCTAACACATTGTCGAAATATTATAAAATATTCAATTTCTAAGATATTTTTTTCCAAATAATTTTAATATTTTAATTATCCTGCACTATGATAAATTTTCAGTGTTTTACACTTAAAAAAAAATACAAATTAGAAATACAAATTTCGCGTAATTAAAAAAATAGAAGATCTAATTTTTCCACGATATTCAAATAAATTTTTCGATTTGAATCATTAGGAAAGATAAAATTATAATCTGTAGCATATTAAAAAATTACCTTTTTCAGCATGTAATTTTGAATATTATAGCCCATATAAAAAGCGATCCTCTGAAGGCTGAGAAGAGTTCGGAGTCTCAAACGAGGATCTGGCTGTAAGAGCCGTTTCAGGAGATCCCTCGCCGCTGGCGAAATATCCGCATTCGTAGGTAAGATTCCTGGTACATTCGCATGATCCAGCTCATCGCGGGCGATCCTATCAGCTGGTAGAAGTTCTGACGACAAGGTGGATGGATACTGTAACAAAATTGTAGCACCTGCGATCAGTTCTTCCAATCTTGACTTTCTGTAGAATAATAATTCTCTAATTGTGGTCTTATCAATGATAATTTTATGATGTTTTTATGTAGACTTTTAATGTAGGCACTTTTATATAGGCTTTTAATTGCGCAAAGCAACTTAATTGATGTTCAATCTCTATTCGATTGTTCAATTAAAGGGCTTACTGCAACAGTGAGCTAATCGACATTTTGTAAAAACGGAGTAAATGAACTCTATAAAGTTAAAGCAATGGGGAAAATATCAATATCAGTCAGTTTACCAGAACATATAAAATTGGTACTTTTCCTATTACTTTCCTTTCTGAAAATTTTTCTCAGAATTTTTCGTATAATTTTTCAAAGTTTATATGTAATTTCTATTTACAGTCATTTAAAAAATCCATATAAAATGACCTTATAAATTTTAAATTATCTGATGATATCGTAAAAATTTTCGAAATTTACATACCAGATTTAACACATTTCTATATGAAACTGTTATATGTGAGGATTAAGTTAATTGAATATTAATAAGTAATTATTGATTCTAAGTAATAATTATCAACTTTATATGTAGATTTTAAAATTTCTCAAAATTTTTGAATAATTTTATAACTTCGTAGATATTTTCTCAGATTTTTTATGTAGATTGAAACATTTTTCAGAAATCTACATATTTTTTAGAATTTTGTATATATGTGAATTTTGAAATATTCGAAAATTTCTTATTTCGATGAAATCTTATGAAAAAATTTAACATTTTCTTAAAAATTATATAATTAAAAATTTTAGAGCATTATAGAAGTCGTATACATGAAAAATATACAACAAATTTTAAGAAAAAATATAAACTTGCTCAGTATTTCTGAAGTGTTCCAATCTAAATTATAATAAAAATTACGACAAAAATTTTTTAACTTTATAAAATTCATTTACTCTATTTTTTTAAATAAAACTAACTCACTGTTGCAACAAGCTGTTCAATTCAGTAATAAAGTTGTTCAAAAGAAGAATTGATGTCGACGCTGAAATTCTGCTAAACTCGAAGCAAAATTTAGTTATTAATTAGCCGTGCACCTTGCGCACCCACGCTCGAGATCAAAGTTTGTGGAAAAACCTTTTCATCACGGCTGCAAATGCAAGAAGGATTATATAAATTTCAATTATTATTATTTTACGACACTATGCAGACCGGTTTAATTGCTAAAAGCAATCTAATTAACAATGTTTAACCTTTATTCGATTATTTATAACAATTCAATATACTGCACTGAGAGAAACGTTTGGTACGTATAATCATTTATTTTGTTGATATGTGACTAACAAAACCTTTTTTACTTTTTCATTTAAAAAATTGCGTTGTCAAAATAAATTTCAATTAAAACAGCATAATTTTTTAATGAAAAAGAAAAAAAAGGCTTTCGTTAGTCACATCGACAAAATAAATGATTATACATACCAAAACATTTCTCTCAGTATAACTTAAATTGTTCGAAAGAAGGATTGATCCGGCACTTGAAAATCCAAAATTTCCTGAAGACAAAATTTAGTCCTTAATTAACAGCCGTGCACTTTGCGTACTCGGGACCACAGAGTTTGCGGAAGGACGTTTTGGTCACAGCCGCAGAGGCTGGGAGGGCCATAAATATCTTCTTTTACGAGAGATAGACCGGTAAACTAGAGAAGCTATTATCAATGTGCGGATTCCGGCCTGTCCAGGCGCGCTCGGACGCTCTCGCCGACTACGGCATACTACACAGGTACATACACAGGCAGGGTCAACGGCCACTCACGACCCTCAACCTATTCGCTCGTTCATATCCCTCCACTGTGTGGTACGACCTCATACGACCTCACACTTGCCGCTGCTTGCCGCCTCCGCGAATGCGTCCCCGCGGCAAGTGTGTGGATTTCTTCGCGCAGCTTTGTAACACGCGCGTTGAGACTCGCGCAGAGTTCGCGCGTGTCAAACGTGCAAAACGGGACACCCACCGGACATTTCCTTTGTTGCAGCCGAGATTGTTACGCGACGCGGTGGCGAAACATTACCGCACGTGCTCGCGTTGGCGCGGAGAAATGGCTTTCAAACGGTGCATTTACAGTACGCGCGTTTATAGTATCGGAGGTATCTCGATTTTACGTAATCTCCTCGCTGGACGAGCGTAAAAAAGCAGCGGCCGCCTTTCAAAGTCATCGGGATTGTTAATAAAATAGCGACATAAATATTCTGATGGTACGAGTAGATTTCCCTCGCTCACACGAGGCAGGCGACTCTTCGAAATCTAAAGCCAACGACTTGGATGTTGAAATCGAATAGAAAAAATACACTCGTGACGATCCGAAAAAACTAATTGAATATTAACTCCCAAATAAATCTCCAACTTGAGGATTACCACTCAATTTGAGTGTCATTTCGGACCGCCAAGAGTGTATTTCTTCCATAACGTCAAAATGACATCAAAATGAATCATGACTGATAAAAAAAAATGACTTTTAATAAATACTTTAGAGCCACTTTGATTTCATCGTGACTTTTTGTTCTGCTTAAGAAGAAGGTGCTAGAAGAAACACGTTTCCCTCGTTTTTACGCGATATATATCTTCGAGAATTAATAAGTCTTCTCGAGGAGAATTATTCCCATGAGGCCCAGCTCGAACCTCCTGCTGTGTAAATTTTATTAACTTCCATAGGATCCGCCTCTGTGATTCCTGGCTGAAAATATGCGCACACTAATCGCTAATTAATCTCGATATAATATATCCACATTATCATGTATGTTGTTTACAAGCGAAAGAGAACAGAGGAGAAGCTTGCCAGGTCGTTGGCGCGTCTCAGATCCTGATCGCGCTCAACGCAAACTTGATGAACGGGATATTTCAATTCGATCTCGGCGCGAGAACCTTGACCGAGAATAACGGTACGGGAATGATCGTTACGAGATCGTAGACAGTAAAGTATGGCTTTTAACGCCGCCACCGCCGCCACCTCTTCTGCATAGATCGACCGAGCTGTCCGCCTTATCGGCACCATCATTCACGCCGCTCCATCGATGATGCTGACAAGAGACCATCTCGGTTTTGTACAACAAGTTAGTGAAAATCCTTGATATTAATAAAAGTTGACCAACTTGTCCAAACCGAAATAGTCTCTTGTGAGATCGAAAAAGCAAATCGACGAAACACAGCGAGTAACGAATTCGATAGCGAGTAACGAATGGAAAATTTAAGCTGACTGTGTTACACGCATCTCAGTTTTCTTCGTATTTAACCCTCCGGAGTTGACGTGGTCTATTGGACTTACTCAATTATATCCCTTTAGAGCTGACGTGATTTATTAGAGTCCCTATGCAGTGATTGTTTGGATAAGATTCTGAAGAGTAAAAATAATTCAGTTTTTTCTGCGAAGTACTGTTTATGATAACATCAGGATAATAAATACATTATATTTAAATTTATTAGTTCTTAATTTTTGCATCTATTATTGTAGCAATTGTCATTTTACGCAAAAGTGTCAAATAATTTAATTTTCTTTATATTGTATTTGCAAATTTAAATTATTTTTATTAAAACTTATCATTCAATCTTTTTCATACAAATTCATTTTGGTTCCTCGAAATTAATTAATGATCTTTTGATCAGCATATATTAAACGGGTCTCACAGAATCATTATTAGTAACCTATAGATTTTGGCGTCAATTCTGGAGGATCAACTAGAGCTTCTCGAAATGTATGATGTATTTGAAATATTGAGATTAGCATGTCATTTAAATCTTGTCTTGCTCAAATACACACACAAATAAATGTTAGAGAATTTAGGTAAAAACGATAAGCGTTCTTCAAGACTTTGTACAGCTATCATGCAAACCGAATTACAACATCCGTGCTGGCTCACCGAAACGCAATTTCGCAAAATTGCACTTCCTGCCATGTGCTACCGACGTCCGGCACATTCTACGCGCAAAAATCCCGACGTCGTTCTTCTAAATACATATATCACTGGAGTGACGTGCGAGCAGCAAAAATAAAAGCAGAACACCTTTTTTCCGATCATTAGAAGGAGGATAAAATTAAGAAATTCTTTTGTTTCATTTTTCTTTATTAATCTTATGGAGCTGACACCAAAATCTGTAACGCAGTTACTGACTAGGACTGTCAGACAATTCGTAATTATCTATTTGTGTGTAAAATAAATCAATAAGATAATTTAATTTGATACGAATGTGGACAAATAAGAGTAAATCTAATTAAAAAAGAGAATGCCTATTTTTCGTAATAAAATTATTTGCAGATCTAAGATTTTCATTAAAATCTAATTATTAATATTCTTATAAAGATGCTTAATATCAAAAATTATTTTTCAAAAATTATTAATAATTGCTTATCAATTTAATAAGTAATATTACTACTTTGGTTCTACTCTTAATGATACGTTTCAATATTTAAAAAAATGTCGATGCGCAGTTTGCAAATTAGATATGTGTATAAATTCAAACAGAAATGCAACCACAAAGATCCGCTTTGAATATAGGCATATCTCTTATTTAATTAAATTTAATTTGTGTTAATTAAAAAGATACTAATAAAATAAATTTCAAGGAACTAAAAACGACATAACTTGTATAAAAAAAGACAAATACTATAATTATAAGTATATTTAATAATCCAAATTTACAAATGTAACATAAAGAAAATTAAATTGATATTTTTTACACAAAAATTAATAATTGAATAGATCCAACAGATTTATCGTCAGCTTTGGAAAGTTAAAATAAAGTTTAATCAAGGATCATATTGTTACGATAAAGTGACCGAATCCGCGAAAAGTTCAGAGTCAACAAACTCGTTTGTGTGCGGCCGCAACTTCGACCTTTCTCTCCGGCCGCGGCGGAAGAAAAAAAGGCGCGGAACGACGTAGACACGGATCTGTATGTACATTATGCTAAATGTAAACGTACCGCGTTCACTCGTGGATTCCAC